ATGCAGAAAGTTATAAAATATTTTACACACAGCAAAATGGAAAAAAATGTGAAAGGACAGATTCGATGTAGAAATACATAAAAATCTGATTTTGTCAAAAGTCTTGATCAAACCTAAAAAAAAAAAGATTTGACTTTTTTTTTATCAAAAGTTCTTTCAGAAAATGAACTGATTTCACTTTTAGGCCCATTTATTTCCTCTAAACTTGTAAAATATTGTGAAAACATTCATCAAATTAATCAGTTAATTTTGTGTCATGAAAGCTGCAGATTTTCTAAATAAATGTTTGTTTRAAAAGAAAAGAAAGTAAATCATTGTTCTGTAGAATAAAATTAGCATCAGATAAAGTCCGACTCGGTCGACTCTTCAGAGCTCAAAAATCAAAGGCTGCAGCACATTTTGATTTATTAATGACATTTAATGAATGAATTTCCTGTCATCAAACAGAAAAACACAAACAGAGTTAAATATTCACCGAACTTCTCGGTGCTTTCATCTCTGCTGTCGATCAAACGTCGTCAGTTTTGATTTGTTGTCAGTCAGAAGGATCTGAGGCTTCTTCTGTCGGRTTATTATTTATATATTTAAACACAAACTGAACAAAACAACAAGACAGAAAACTTCTCCTGGAACTTTTCTGTTGTTGTTGAACACAAACAAAAAAAAAATCCAAATCTGATTCCTTTGATAGAAAACAAGAAAATAAAACAAACATAAAACCACAAAAACTTTCAAAGACTTGAAGTGTTTGATCAGAGAGCAGAAATAATTATAGATGAGTTAACAAACAAAGAACTTTAACAGATGAACAAACTCAGAATAAAGAACTCAAAATATTAAAGCTACAGTTTGACACTGTGCACTATAAGATCATGTTTATTTACAATATGACACCAGATAAATTCAGTCCATCCATCTTTTACCTGCTTCTCAGTCTGGCAACCCTTTCCCTGGAGCATCAGCTGTACCACCTGAACCACTGTGCCCCCCCCCCCCCATACACACACACACACACACACCAGTACCATACCAAACAATACAATGACATTTATATTTGTAGATTATTTAGATTTTTTAAATATTGTATACGTTGTTACTTTGTGTTTTTATTTTATTTGTTAATATTTGTTGCTGTTTTTACCTTGTTTTGTTGAAACTTATTATGTTAAAACTTTGTRTCATCAGAGTGAAATCCTGCAATCGACCCTGATTTTAAAGTAAAACTTTTTACAACCAAAAACCAAAATGCTTCAGAATTTTTCATGTAGATTTTCTGCTGCATCTCGTCTACATTTAAATGGTGTTTTGGGTTAAAAAAATAAAGAAAACAAACATTAAAAGCTATATAAAGCTTTGGGAAACTATTTAAAATCTCTAAACGTGTCTAAATTCATAACCTTATAGACGGTATAAATCACCAGATTTATCACGRTATRATACATCACTTTGTTTGGATGAYRATATTTGCTGATATTGCTTTAAGTCTGTCATGATTTTGAGTCAGTTCTGTTCACAAGTCTGTGATTAATAAGATGTGACATCATGTGTCCATCTAACATGAATGATTGTGTTAGATGGACATACTACGATGACACATGGATTGGTTTAAACTGAATCTTTAGCCGTGAGTTTAAATGAGTCCAGCTGCTCTCAGGTGAGTTTATCAGGTCAGGTTTTAACATGAGCTCTGGGTCTTCCAGTTTCTGAGGCCTCAGAAAGTTTATAAACTCAGAGAAACTCAGAGTGAAGTCATTCAGCTCCTTTCTGTCAGCTGGGACTTTTAATAAAGCTTCATCATTTATTCATGAAGACSTTCAGACATGTTCATTAATCAGCTGCATGCTAATGAATGCTAACAGGAAACACAGGCCCAGAGGGACGGTTTCTACTTAAATCAACAAGAAAACAGAGAACTGACAGACTTCTATCATCTGTCTGCTGTTCAGGCCTCAGCTCATCTCAGGATGCTGGGCTCTGATTGGACGGTTTGATCAGCAGGTTGATCAACAAGAAGCAGGAAGAGTTTCAGCTTCACTCTTTAAAGAACTGAAGTTAAACTTCTGACCACCAGAGGGAGACAAATCCTCCCACAGATAGATAGATAGATAGATAGATAGATAGATAGATAGATAGATAGATAGATAGATAGATAGATAGATAGATAGATAGATAGATA